TTCTATAAGATTGATATTGGATGACCTATCAATCTTTCTTCCTATTTATTTTAAGAACCTGGCTGACATGATATTATTAACTGATCCACTATCAATTATTATTCTTATAGGCTGGTCTTCTACTTTTTCTTCATAGTGAACTGTATCTACTATTTTTCTATTCTTTTTTTCTAGATTTTTATTTTCTTCTATAGTTTTAGTTAGCAGTTATTATAAGAATATTGTTGAAGACTTTTGAGATTGACTTGTACTCTAACCTTCTTCAGGTATGAATTCTAGTTTAAATGTGAGATATTACTATTGTTAGTGATAATAATGTTAGAAGATGGAGATATTATAAATTATCTACCTAGAAGTTGCTGTAATTGTTGCAATAACAAATTATTATCTGATACTATAGTGATAGTATTGATTCCAAGATAAGCTGGCTGTCTAATATTCATATTTCTTTCTATATAACTGTTGAGGTAATATCTCATTTTATTATATTTAAAGCACTTAATATTTGAGATATTATTATTATTATTATTATTATTATTCATATTTTTCTTTGACATTCTATAATTATGGGTTATATAATTATTTTTATCACAATTGTAATAAGTCTTTTCTTAATTAGAATGATTACTAGAGTTTTGATTATTTTAAGTAAACAGTTTCTTTACTTGCTTAGTTAGATTAGCTATAGCTTTGTTCATATTATTTGCTAGACTTGAAATAGAAAAGAAGATGCCAAGATTTTGTGCCATAAAAGTTAGAAGATTCATAGGATTCTAATAGATTTGTCTATAGCTAGATTCAGTATTGATTACTTCTGTGATTATATCATCTAGTATATTTAGATTAGACTTATTAATGTAAAAAATAATCTCTGGTTTTAAGTCTTTTATAAATTATTTAATATAATAGATATTAGGATAAGCATATGTAGGATTAATTTTTCTAAGAAGTATGTAAATATCTTTTACGTATAAGGCCATATCTTTATTTACTTCTTGTACTCTCAATCTTAACTGTTATTACCAAACTAATACTTAAGTATTTGTTCTAAACTAATTAATAAAAGAGTAATAAAAAGAATCATTTTCTCTATTTGCATTTCAACTAGTGGACTAATTATTATTTGTAACTTTATTTTACTGATATCAGGTGATTGTAACTCCTCTTAGATAGGCTAATATAATCTCTATTTTTCTTGGATTAGTTATATTATTAGCATTTGCTAATCATTCAAACTTTTCTATCCAACTAATTGAATCTTCATGTGTTTTTCCATTATAAATAGGAAGAGGTATAGTCAATAATTCAGTTTGTCTATTTTGCTGGTCTGTCATAGCTTATATTAATGGATCTAGAATAATAGCTAGTACTTATATAGCTTGATCTGTTATATTTTCTTCTTGATTTCTTTGAGATTATAGTAAGGATGAGTCTAAAAGAATAGAAGGATGAACTTCTTCTTCTTCTGAAGACTCTTCTTTTGTTATATTTCTTGGCTGAACTGGAATTCTTCTTTTATGTAGAAGATTAGTAAAGAATATATTGGGGATTGAGACTAAAGTGGATGATGAGAGAACTGGTGTAGAAGTTCTAACTGGTATATTAACTGAAGTACTAGATCTTGATTTCTAAGTATAGTACATTCTTTGTTAGTTAAATATAGTAATTTCCTCATATAAATTATGAATAATATCAGTTATTTCAGTTACAAGATGAGTTGAATGATTCTGAAATCAAAGTTGTAATTAATATTTGCTAGTTAAAACTTCTATTCTTGATATATTAGTAATAAATAGATTATAGATTAACTGATATAAGTTCTTTTCTTGTTATCTAGATAATTGAGATAGATCAAAAAGATTGATTAATCTTTGAAATTGTCTTTCTATTTTATAGTTAGTTAATTTTGTTGGGTTTAGTTTGAATTACTTTTATGATTATTAATTTATTTTTGATTTTGTCTCCACAGAGAGGATATCAAAAAGACTATTATTATTTTAAGATTATATGTATGTAATTATTTTAAAATAGTAATAGTAACTGTATTCATGATAATTATTTACTTTTATAACTTTAAGAGATTATATGACTGATTATCTTTTTAATAAGATAATATATGTAAGATTTACTTCTAATAAAAATATGATTATCTTCTCAATAAGATAATTTATATGTGTTTTACTTATAATAAAAATATAATTATCTTCTCAATAAGATAATATATGTAAATTTACTTCTGATCAAAATGCTCTTTTAATAGAGCAAGAAGAAAATAAAATAAGATATAAGATAAAATATATGTATTTATTAAAGAAAAATATTAATTAACTACTTTTAACTCAGTAGTAATTACTTCTATCAAACTTAATTATTTTTCTCGATCACTTCTTGACTCTCTATATATAATATTTTTCTTGCTACACTAATTACAAATTATTATTTGCTTAATTTAAAAATTTTCTTAAAAATAATCTTAATTTTAATTAGGCTTATTAATATAATTAACTTTATATTATCTTACTTGACATATTTATATATTAAATTCTTTTAGTTAAACTTATTAATATAACTAATTTTATATTATTTTTAATTAGTATATCTATATTTTAAACTTAAATTAAAAAGATAAAAATTTATAAAAACTTAAAAAATTTAATACTTAAAAACTAAAAATCTTTAAAAATACTAAAAATATTTGACTATTTCTAAAGGTTAAGTTAAAAAAAATATTTATATTATCTTAAAAATAATTTCTAGTTAAAATAATTCAAAAATATATAATATAACTTCAAAATTATAATATAATTTCTTAATTAATATTTATTATCTTATTAATAATTAATATCAATTAAATTTTTATATTTATTAAAAAATTTATATTAATAATAGATTACTTTATTAATAAAAAATTTATTAATAAAAAATTTATTAATGATTTACTTATTATTTTCTTGAGAAAATAATTTTTATTTGAAAAATTTAAGTTTAATATCAATTATAATTTTATATAAATATTTAATATGATTTTTATAACTCTCAATTTATTTATATTATTTCTAAATTCTATTTTTGAATTTTCAGATAATAAATTTATATTATTATTATACTAAGTTGTATTTTAATTATTAAATTAAGTATTATTATTATCTTCTTATAAGAAATACAAAAAGAATTTTTCTTGACTAAATCTTTTTTTTTCATAATTTTATCTTAATTTCTATATATTATTAATTAACTGATACAGATTTTATTATTATTGTTATTATAATAGTTATTATCTCTTTTCTTTTTCTTTTTATTTATATTTTGCAAATATACTTTTTCTTTATATCAAAAATTATTATTTTTTATTATTTAAAAGTTTACTATATTATAAGAAGAGTATTAAAAATCTGTTATATTATTTTATTACTTTGTTAGATTATTTGAATAGTTTTATAACTTTTATTTTTCTTTTATTAAGTTATTATTTACTTTATATAATATAATCTAGTATATTTCTAAATATAGATATTTGAATTAGCAAATATAATATATATTTAAAATTTATTCTAATTAGTTATATAATTTAATTTTTTAATTAGATTATGAAATATATATTATTATATGATATATCTAATTTACATATTTTCTTATATATAAAATATTATATTGATTATTTTTAGTTTCTGTAAAATAAAGAATAGATAGATACAAGAAATTTTTTTAATAGAATTGAGAAATATGATAAAATAATATATATATTTACATATTAGTTAGAATTATTAATTATTTTCTTCTAACTCTTCATTAAAAATAATACTCTTTTCTATTAAAATATCTCTAATCTTCTAAAGAATATTTACTAAATTATTATAGATTCTATTTAATAAATTTTAAAATTATAAATAGTCAAAATCTTTTAGAAAAGAAATCAAAAAGTTAATAATTAATAATATTTATAATTTTATTAAGAAAGTTTCACTTTTCTGAATATTTACTTCTTCTTGAGTTATAAATATTAGATATGAAAGTCTCAATGAATATTTTTTAATCAAAGTCATCTTAATATATTTGATTCTTTTTATATGTATAATTTTATTAAATTTTTTTATTTTCTCACTTAATATCTATTACTATTAATATTTTGAAATATGTAATTATTAGTATTTGAATTTATAAATTAAGACTTTTTTATTTGAATATAGAACTGATATAATTTAGTAATAAAACTAAGATATATATAAGATTTATAAATCTTCTTTTCAGAGTATTCTATTTATTAAAGAAAATAGTATATAACTAATAGAACAAAAATTAAGATAATAATAAATAATATATATTGAAGTATTAGTAAAATAAATATAGAAATAACTTAATAAATATTTATAATATAATTAAAATCTAGTCTAATCAAGTTATCATTATAAATTTGATGTATTAAGATCTTGATATTGATTCAAGTGTTCAAATTAAGAAATTAAACTTTTCTTTTTGATTAAATTATAAATTTCAGATTTAAACATTGTATTTATTCTTCATCAATAATCTTAATTAATCAGTAAATTGGATACTGTTGGACAGATCAAATAGAAGTAAATATTCATCTGGCTGATTAAATTATTTTAAATCTGACTGAATAAAACTTTAATTTTTATAATATAAAAAAATGAATATATCATGTATGTTTTATATTTTTGCAATATAAAATAAAACATAAATATAAAAAAAAAATTATAAATAATCATATCTTATAATATCTTTGCAATATAAAATAAAAATTATATATAATCAGATTTCTTTATTAATTCAAAATTATAATAAAAAAAGTATGAACTTAATAAAAATACATTTAGAAAGCAAAATATATAAATGCTCTTTTAAGTTGAAACTAAACTATATCATGAATTGCAGAATTAATATAAACCATGATTTCTTTTTCAAAAAACCTGTTTTCACATAATATTCTATCTAATACATAATATCTAAATTATTACAAGAAGTATAAATACAATTATTTATTATTTTGGTTTTTGAAATTTTAATGGTTGACCCATTGACTGTCCCAAGTCTTCAAGCTAATTAGGTAACGTTAATTACATATAAATCGGATTACAGAACGCGAAATCAAATAAAGGATCATCTATCTTTTACCTTTTCCATTAAATTATTGAGATTTTCCATCAAATTGTTCAAGTCTTGTTCTTTTTTCACAAATAGATCCGCATTTCGTTTAAAAGCTTCAGCAGAATCTTCTGTTGGTATAACAGGCCTATACATAATGAATTTAAATTCATATTTTTTAAATGAGTGATGTCTTGCCGGTAATTATTTAAAGATTGTAAAAGAATAAATGATTATACTCACAATTCTTCGTCTTGAGAATTCTCTAAAGCAACGTGTTGATGTGCCAATTCAATTTGTTTCCTTCGAATGTAATCTAAATCCTTAAAAACATTATCAGAATTGCGACCTAGACGAATAATAGAGATAATGAGAATATATGTAGATAATGTATATATAGATTACTTAGTATTATAAAGGTCGCTACCGAAAAAAGAAATCTCTCCCTTGGCAAACATTTTGTCCATTCGTTTAAAATCGTTTTCCAAGGTATCATGAACACGTTCATGATCTGTAGGCGGACGGGAAAAACTACCAAAATTCGAGTTATTGGATTTCTCCATATACAAATAATTTAAGATCACCCTGAAGAAAGTATCCGAACAAGATCATCTGTTTACATCCAAATAAAGGGGGGATGACAGAAATTCATTTTTATTGATTGGTTGATAGCAAATCATATACATAACTTTACATGCTTCTGAAATTATTAATCAAGAAAAAAAAATATACATATACTTATTATTTAAAAAAATAGAAAAAAAAATAATAAAAGAAACATTATTATTATTTTTAATTAAAAAAGTATATTATAAGAATAAATTATATATTTAAAAGAGTTAAATATTAAATAATTTAAAAATATAAAAAGAAACTTTATAAAAATAAGTAAAAGTAAAATAATATTATTTTTTTTAATACAAATAATTTTTTATTAATTTTAAATATTTTAAATTTTAAATTATTATATAATATTAATAATTATATAATTATTATAAAAAATAAAAAATTTATAATAATTTTGAAAGAATTTTCTTTAAATTAAAGTATATTATTAAAAATATTATAAAATATAAATTATAATTATTAAATTTATTAAAAATAATAATAATATATGATTAGCTAAAATATAGTAAATAATTTATTAATAAGATAAATATTATAAATTACTATTTGATCTATTTTATAAAAATATATTATATTTATTTAATATTTAAATAATATTTATTTTATTTTAAAGATATTATAATTTTTATTTTTTTAAAATATTTTACTATTTTTATTATATTAATTTAACTAATATATTTTTATTAATTTTGCTATAATTTAATTATTTTAATAAATTTTTTTATAAAATATAAGTAAATAATTATTTAATAATACTATAAAATAAATTATTTAATAAAATATAAAATAATAATTATAATAAAAATTTATATTATAATAAAATTCACTTTATTATATTTTTATTTTACAAAAATAATTATAAGCTATTATATTTTAACTAAATTTAATAATTTTTTAAAATTATTATTTGTTAAGTATTAAAGTTTTAATAATAATAACTTTATTAAACTTAATATTATCTTCAATAATTAATTTTTTAATATTAAAAAAATATTTTTTTTAATTAAATTATTATTAAATTTATTATAAAAAAATAATTTTTCTCTTAAATTATTAGCTATAATTATAATTAATTATTATTTTAATTTATAATACAGTGACAATCAAAAATAATGCAACACTTAAATTTTTTACTAATTATAATTAGTAAAATACATATTTTTCCTTA